GGTGATTCGCCCTGACTCAGGCCATCCCAGAGTGTGGATTACAGGCCATGAGTCCGCAGCCTGCCAAATAGTTTCAACGTGCATTTTACAAAAACCTCCGAAAACTGAAGCTCATTGGAGCCGCAGGAAAGAGACCAGAGACTCAGAGGCACAGACAGGTAAAGAACATCCATCGATGTTGGCCAATCGTTCATTTTATTGTTTGGGTGAGGTGAACATATTTCCCCTTCTCCTCAGTATTCATTATTATCATTGAAAAATACTTATGTTCTAATATACCCCTCCTCCTGGATATCATGCGTATATTCCCACAAATTTAACCCCAAACCGGCCACGGCTGGCCTGGTAGCTCACCCCTGTAATCGCCACACCTGGAGGCTGAGGTCGGGCGGATCAACTTTGAGGTCAGCGAGCTTTGAGACCAGCCTGGCCAACATGGTGAAAGCCCGTCTCTACTAAATACAAAAATTAGCCGCAGGCGTGGTGGCGCCTGCCTTTTGTAAATCCCAGCTAACTAGGGAGCTGAAGCGGAGAAATGCTTGACCTGAGGCAGTGGGATGCAGTGAAACTGAAATCACCACCCACGCTACTCCAGCCGGCAACAGAGCGATGCACCTGTTTCCAAAAAAAAAAAAAAGAAAAGAAAGAATAAAATGCGTCACGCTGGTAGCTCATCCCTATATCCCAGCATTTGAGAAAGCTGGGTGGGAGGACTGCACATGAGCCAGGAGTTCAAAGACAGCTTTGCACATAGTGACGACCCTGCCTCCATATTAAATTTATTTTAATTTAAACCAACCCAAAAAACAAACATGAACAAAATGGCATGCAGCATTAAAAAGAGTAGCCATAAGGCCCAGGCGTGGGTTTCATGCCTGTAACCCCAGCACTTGGGAGCCAAGGCGGGCAAGATCACGAGGTCAGGAGACAAGACGCATCCTGCTAACACCGGTTGAAACCCCATCTTTACTAAAAATACAAAAATTGGCCCAGGCATCGGTGGCGGGCACCTGTAGTCCCAGCTACTCGGAGGCTAGGCAGAAAATGGCAGTTAACCCAGGAGCGCTGAGCTTTTGCAGTGAGGCCAAGGCCTCCAGCCTGGCGACAGAGCGAGACTCCGTCTCAAAAAAAAAAAAAAAAAGAGTACATAGTGTGCAGGCACAATATTTTAAAGCTAGAAGAAGGCCTTGGAGGCCATTTTGTCCAACCACCCGCCCCGCGGCCCTCATTACAGAAAATCGAAATAAGGCCCCACGAAGACCAGACAAGTGCCCCTGTCAAACTGATTTAATCCATAAAGAGCCCTAGGCTCAAGGCCCTGGCTTCCTGTCAAGATGCTCCTTCTGCAGAACCATGCCTGATCATCCTTTGGTCTAGTTCCTATTCTCTTCAACATCCATAATCTCTAAACTGCTTATGTCGCTTATCCTTAAACTGCTATGTCGCCGGGCGCAGTGCGCTCAACGCCCTGTAATCCAGGCACTTTGGGATGACGCTGAAGGCGGCCGCCGATCACGAGGTCAGGAGATGAGACCCATCCCTGGCTAACATGGCGAAACCCTGTCTCTACTAAAAATAACAAAAATTAGCCCGAGCGTGGTTGGCAGGCGCCCTGTAGTTCCAGCTACTCCTGAGGCTCGAGGCATGCTGAGGCAGGAGAATGGCATGAACCTGGGAAGCGGAGCTTGCAGTGAGCCAAGGTTGCACCACTGCACTCCAGCCTGGGCGACAGAGTGCGGCTCCATCTCCAAAAACAAAAATAAAAACAAAATAAACCACATATGTCATAAAACTCATAACTTTTTTCCTGGCAAATTTGATGTTTTTTGTTTTTGTGTGTGTGTGTGTGTGGGAAAAGGAGATCAGAAGAGATATACTCTGCTCCACTGATATTCCAAATGCTTAGAAAGTCAGTCAAAATATCTAGCAGTAGAGAAATAGTCTATTAGGAATAATAGAAACATGGATCTACTTGTCTACTCTTGGATTTTTTTGGGGGGGAGGTGGGGGATGGAGTCTCGCGCTGTCACCCAGGCTGGAGTGCAATGGCACAATCTCGGCTCACTGCAACCTCCGCCTCCTGGGTTCAAGAGATTCTCCTGCCTCAGCTTCCCAAGTAGCTGGGACTATAGGCATGTGCCACCATGCCAGATAATTTTTGTATTTTTAGTAGAGATGGGGTTTCACCATGTTGGCTGGTCTTGAACTCCTGACCTCGTGATCCACCTGACTCAGCCTCCCAAAGTGCTGGGATTATCAGCGTGAGCCACAGTGCCCATAATCTTCCACCTCACTGTCCCCGACAGTATGGTCTACTCCAATATGCATGCTGACCTTTTTTTTTTTTTTTTTTTTAGATGGAGTCTTGCTCTGTCGCTCAGGATGGAGTGCAGTGGCGTGCTGTCAGCTCAGGCACAACCTCTGCTTCCTGAGTTCAAACGATTCTCCTGCCTCAGCCTCCCAAGTAGCTGGGATTAGAGATGTGCGATACCACTCCTGGCTAATTTTGTATTTTTAGTAGAAACAAGGTTTCACCATGTTAGTCAAGCTGGTCTCGAACTCCTGACCTCAAGTGATCCAACCGCCTCGGCCTCCCAACATGTTGGGATTACAGGTGTGAACTACCACACCTGGCCCAGGCTGACTTTAGAGTCTTTAAATTACAAAAGAAAAGGGTAGGGTCTGAGAGGTGATCAAAGAAAACTCTTAGACTTCATCTTTGGCCAAGCACAAGGTCTCTTCTGGGAAAAGTGATCTTTTGCCACCTTGTGACACTGAATGAGAAGAGCAAGCCCTCAGATCAGTTCCTACTCCTGCTCCAAGGTGGCAGCATTGTACCGTGGCATTGAGGAAGTAATGTACAGAGTTTCAAACAGCAACAGGAGGGAAGGTGATAATACCTCACAGGAGCAGAGAATCATGTCATCATGTTAAGGAAATAGTAAGCAAAAATCACAAAACCCAAGGAAGGCAATGAAGCCCCTCTGCCCTAACCACCTCCTCTGCTAAGAGAAGCAGGCAGTTGGGGGCAAGAGGGTAGGGAGGACGAATAAAGACTTGCTCGGACCAATAAAGACGTGAGGCATTTATGTTCCCTCTAGTCAGTGGTCTCATTTCTCTGCTTTCTTTCTCACAGCAAAACTTTTTGAAAAAGTTATCTAGGCCGGGTGCAGTGGCTCACACCTGTAATCCCAGCACTTTGGGAGGCCAAGGTGGGCAGATTGCTGGAGCTCAGGAGTTTGAGACCAGTCTGGGCAACACAGTGAGACCCTGTCTCTACAAAAAATAACCCCGTCTCTAAAACAAAACAAGAACAAAGAAGCTCTAGAGTTTGATGAAGACAGAGTAGATCTTCATTCTCTCCCTCTCTTTTTTTTTTTTTTTTGAGACGGATTTTCACTCTTGTTGCCCAGGCTAGAGTGCAATGGCGCAATCTCAGCTCACCACAATCTCCACCTCCCAGGTTCAAGCGATCCTCCTACCTCAGTCTCCCAAGTAGCTGGGATCACAAACATGCACCACCACGCCCAGCTAATTTTTGTATTTTTAGTAGAGACGGGGTTTCTCCATGTTGGTCAGGCTGATCTCGAACTCCCAACCTCAGGTGATCCACCTACCTCAGCCTCCCAAAGCGCTGAGTCTACAGGCGTGAGCCACCGCACCCGGCCGTTCATTCTCTTTTATGCTCCATCTATCTATGCCATCACAAAGTCTACAGATTATTTATTTATTTATTTATTTTTGAGACGGAGTCTTGCTGTGTCACCCAGGCTGGAGTGCAGGGGCGCGATCGGCTCACTGCAAGCTCCGCCTCCTGGGTTCATGCCATTCTCCTGCCTCAGCCTCCGAGTAGCTGGGACTACAGGCGCCTGCCACCACGCCCGGCTAGTTTTTTGTATTTTTAGTAGAGACGGGGTTTCACCATGTTAGCCAGGATGGTCTCGATCTCCTGACCTCGTGATCCACCCGCCTCAGCCTCCCAAAGTGCTGGGATTACAGGCGTGAGCCACCGCGCCCGGCCAAGTCTACAGATTATTACTGTGGATACTAAATAATACAAATTTGGAAAAATCTTCAACAACAGTTATCTGTCTAGGAAAATTTTCCCAAGCCAAAGACAGTACCACTCACCTACTGTATTTAGCTCTTCCTCACAACCTCTCAGCCCAATGGTCATCAGAATGTTGTTCACCAATACTAACTTCACTATTCAGGAATGTGAAGATGTGCAAAACTCAACAGGTATGTCTGTGCTAATGTGAGTTTATGTATATAACTGTGGATGAATTCCAGAGATCATATGGTTCAGGGCCGGCCGGGGTGGCTCATGGCTGTAATCCCAGAACTTTGGGAGGCCAATGGGGGCAGATCACTTGAGGTCAGGAGTTCGAGACCAGTCTGGCCAACATGGTGAAACCTGTCTCTACTAAAAATATAAAAATTAGCCCGTATGGTGGCACACACGTGTAATCCCAGCTATTCAGGAGACTGAGGCAGGAGAATCACTCAAACCCAGGATACGAAGGTTGCAGTGAGCCAAGATCGTGCCATTGCACTCCAGCCTGGGCAACAGAACGAGACTCCACTTCAAAAAAAAAACACAGCCAGGCGCAGTGGCTCATGCCTGTAATCCCAGCACTTTAGGAGGCTGAGGCAGGTGGATCAGGAGGTCAGGAGATTAAGACCATCCTGTCTAACACGGTGAAATCCTGTCTCTACTAAAAATACAAAAAAATTAGCCAGGCATGGTGGTAGGTGCCTATAGTCCCAGCTACTCGGGAGGCTGAGGCAGGAGAATGGCGTGAACCTGGGAGACAGAGCTTGCAGTGAGCCGACTGCACTCCAGCCTGGGCGACTGAGCGAGACTCTGTCTCAAAAAAAAAAAAAAAAGAAAGAAAGAAAAAGAAAAAAAAAGGAGAGATCATATGGTTCAGGACTCTCAAATTTCTAGAGGAGAACATTTATATCCCAAGAAGTCAAGTAATTTTCTCAAGGTGATAGTTAATAACAGGGCCTGTACTAGAACTCAGTTGTACTGACTCCTAGTCCTAGTTTCCTGCTCTGTTCTAGAAATTATATTCCTTACTAGAAATCTCCACATATTTTCATGAAAGTATATAAATCTCTGTGCCTGTATCAGTGAGCATGCATGTAAATGTCTACGTGTCTATCTGCAAGTATTTGTAAAGCATATCAATGGGCGTTTATGGCCTTCCTGCTCGAGAAACCTCTAGGTAATCCAGTTCTCTATGTCAGCACCGGCAGCGAAGTCAGAACTCTGAGTGAATTATTAACAAGCAGAATTAGCCCTTTCTCCAATTAGCTCTATTCCTGGGTCTTCAGAAACTGGGGCAAAATAATCAGGGTGGAATCAGAGTCTCTCAGGGTCAAACTTGGTTCCAGCTGCATGCGGTGAAAGCAACTAGAGGCAGAGCTATCAAGGGCTGTGACAGATGAGCAGTGGTCTATCTGCAATGAGCATGTGCTCAAGCTAACATGGATACCATCTTGGTTTTCAGTCTAATCATTGCATCCTATGATGCCAACAAGAAAGGTAAGTAATTCTCTAGCCTAATCTCCTGGAAAATACAGAGAGAGGCCTAGAAAGAGTTTGGGGGTCTCTTCCACCAGATAGAGATGTAGCTGATATCCAGCAAGCAATACTATCCAGAGGTAATCCTGTGTTATCCACTCGCCTCTAAGGACTGCAACTTATTCATTCCAGAGAGATAGCTGTCTGTTTCATGATGAGAGGTCTTAAGAGAATGTGGTCCATTCTTTTGTCTTGTTCATGTAATTAACATTAAAAGTTCTTTCACTGTTGGATGGCTTTCTTTAGAGTTTCAGTGTTGTTACCACCCAAGATTCCTAAATTCATAACTTGTTGCCTTTTTTAAGTTGGTACATGTAAATAACTAGATGGTGATATTCTTGGGAGGGGAGAGCTGAGGGAAAAGTGTGGTGTTGGGTGGAATGGCATCATTTGCTGCTCTTTGGTAACTGCTTATTTAAAACATGACTTTTCAAAGTTTCGTAAACATTTCATCTCTAAAATTAGCTAATCAAGGCTGGGCGCGGTGGCTCATGCCTGTAATCCCAGCACTCTGGGAGGCTGAGATTGGCGGATCACTTGAGGCCAGGAGTTCAAGACCAGCCTGGTCAACATGGCGAAATCCTATCTCTACTAAAAGTGCAAAAATTAGCCAGGCATGGTGGCATGCACCTGTAATCTCAGCTACTCGGGTGGCTGAGGCACAAGAATCACTTGAACCTGGGAGGTAAGGTTGCAGTGAACTGAGATCGTACCTCTGCACTCCAGCCTAGGTAAGAGAATGAGACTGTCTCAAAAAAATAAAAAATTAAAATAAAAAAATAAAATTAGCTAATCAGAATTCAGACCAAATGGCACGAGGTGCAGCAGTAACAAATTTGACAAATTATAAAAATGTCACAACCCTTTGAATTATGTGCCAAAAAGCATAAATAACTAAGACCTATGGTTCTGTGGAAACCTATAGAGATACCAAGGTCAGACAATATAAATATCCAAAAGCTTTATTTAATACAAGAAAGCAGATAGAATAGGAGGGAGAAGAGAAAATAAGCAGTGTTTAAGGAAATGGGTTGGTTAGTCTTTCATTAACTTAGCAAGTTTTCTTAACTCTATTTCACCTTTCTTTGTCCTAAGGGTAATAGATTGGTACTCAGTATTCTTTACACTAGGTCAAATACTACTTTGTATGTATTTGGCTGTGTGTTCTTTTTTGAGGGCCGGGTGTGGTGGCTCACGCCTGTAATCCTAGCACTTTGGGAGGCCAAGGCAGGCAGATCACCTGAGGTCAGGAGTTTGAGACCAGCATAGCCAAAATGGCGAAACCCCATCTCTACTAAAAATACAAAAATCAGCTGGGCATGGTGGCACATGCCCGTAATCCCAGCTACTCGGGAGGCCGAGGCAGAAGAATCCCTTGAACCCAGGAGGTGGAGGTTGCAATGAGCAGGGAATCACGTCACTGCACTCCATCCTGGGCGACAGAGCGAGACTCCGTCTCAATAAATAAGTAAATAAAAGCAAAGTCTTTTTAGAGAGTGTTTGATCTCCCAAGTTGCAAGTTTTATGAGCAGGAACTGCATTCTTTCATATCTTCTCCTCCATTGCCCAGAATTCTAAAAAGAAAGTACCAGTAAATTCTGATTTTCCCCAACTCTCCCCCCGTTCCCCTCCTCCCGCTCTGCTCACCCCTAGACCTGAGAGATAGCAGTTGCCGAGTGGAACAGCTGCCTGGGCTCTTCCCAAAGGACGTGAGAAGCATCAGAGAATTGCAAATGCAAGGTAGGGAATGGGTCCTTTCTGGAAAATGATATTGCCATTCCAAAAAATTTTTACCTTTAAAAGATGTCTCATCTTCCTGCTTCCTAGCCCATCTCTCAAATATCCTATTTTAAGGATATGTATCCTCCCAGGAGGCTTTCTGGAAACCAATCTTTAAATTAACTGTCATTACCTAAGGCGTGCCTATATTACTTAAACGGATGGAGATGAAAAAAGAGAAGGAGGCAGCACCTACTCCTCTCTGCATTAAAGAAAATCTATGAGTATTTCTCTGTGCTGAATTTACTGCTGTCACCAACCTTCATGGGAACCATGGAAGGAAGAAAGGCAGGACTTGTATATTAGTACTATGAACACATACTAAAGAAGAAGTTAACTAAAAGGAGGAGAAAGTATAGCAGTGGAATTTAACAGGAGTCATGAATGGAAGTGGGTCAGCTTGGCACTATTCAGATTAAAAACCAGCTTCGGCCAGGCATGGTGGCTTATGCCTGTAATCCCAACACTTTGGGAGGCCAAGGCAGGTGGATCACTTGAGGTCAGGAGTTTGAGACCAGCCTGACCAACACAGTGAAACCCCATCTCTACTAAAGATACCAAAATTAGCTGGGTGTAGTGGTGCACGCCTGTAACCCCAGCTACCTGGGAGGCTGAGGCAGGAGAATCACTTGAACCAGGGAGGTGGAGGTTGCAGTCAGCTGAGATCACGCCATTGCACTCCAGCCTGAGCAACAAGAACAAAACTCCGAGCAACAAGAGCAAAACTCCAAGATAGTGCCATTGCACTCCAGCCAGGGCAACAAGAGCAAAAGCTCCAAGGTCGGGTGTGGTGGCTCACGTCTGTAATCCCAGCACTTTGGGAGGCCAAGGTGGGAGGATTGCTTGGGCCCAGGAGCTCGAGACCAGCCTGGGCAACACAGCAAAACCTTGTCTTTTAAAAAATTAAAAAATTAGCCGAGCATAGTGGCATACACCTGTAGTCCCACAGTCTCAGCTACTCAGGAGGCTGAGGTGGGAGGATTGTTTGGAGATTGAGGGAGTTTGAGGCTAGATTGAGCCATGATTGCACCACTGCACTCCAGGTTGGGTGACAGAGCAAGGCGCTGTCTCATAAAAAACAACCAAACAAGGCCGGGCGCGGTGGCTCAAGCCTGTAATCCCAGCACTTTGGGAGGCCGAGACGGGCGGATCACGAGGTCAGGAGATCGAGACCATCCTGGCTAACATGGTGAAACCCCGTCTCTACTAAAAATACAAAAAACTAGCCGGGCGTGGTGGCGGGCGCCTGTAGTCCCAGCTACTCGGAGGCTGAGGCAGGAGAATGGCGTGAACCTGGGAGGCGGAGCTTGCAGTGAGCCGAGATCGCGCCACTGCACTCCAGCCTGGGTGACACAGCGCGAGACTCCGTCTCAAAAAAAAAAAAAAAAAAACAACCAAACAAAAAACAAAACCAGCTCCATTTTTCTGTCTGACTCTTCTCCTTCCAGAAACTCACACAGAAACCAAAAGGACAACATTCATTCAAAATCAGACTATAGCTACCTTGCAGTGCCTTGGCTCTGGCAGCAAAGTAAAAGTCAACCTTGTATATTTGGAGAGAAGGCCAAAGGTCAAGCATATTCTGAAGAACCTGAGAATCATTGCTGCTCCCCACAGAAACAGCTCTGCCTCCTCAAGCTGTCACCTAATTCCCACATCCAAGTTTCAGACTGGATCTCTACTAACAGGCAAAGGTGAGATTGGAAAAGAGGAAGGGGGCAGGCACCAACTTTTAGTTGACATCCTTGAAGGAAGCTGGAGCTCAGTAGCAGGAAAAGCTACAAGGAAATGAATTATCCTCGCCGTGGGCAAATCTATGTACTCTTTGCGAGTCAGTTTTATAATCTCTAAGATCCCTTCTAGCCCTGATACGCTGTGATTTTCATGTGATCTCCATTTCTGATGGGTCTTCTTTTGACGGTTTTTTAAAATTTCTTTTTTTCTTCTTTTTTTTTTTTTTTTGAGATGGAGTCTCGCTGTATCGCCCAGGCTGGAGTGCAGCAGTGCAATCTCGGCTCACTGCAACCTCTGCCTCCCAGATTCAAGTGATTCTCCTGCCTCAGCCTCTTAAGTAGCTAGGATTACAGGCGTCTGCCACCATGGCTGGCTAATTTTTGTATTTTTAGTACAGACGGGATTTCACCATGTTGGCCAGGCTGGTCTTGATTTCCTGACCTCAAGTGATCTGCCTGCCTTGGCCTCCCAAACTGCTGGGATTACAAGCGTGAGCCACCGTGCCTGGCCAGTTTTTTTTGTTGTTGTTGTTGTTGTTTTTCCATTTTGAATGCACACAGTAAAATATTCAAACAGCATAGATTTATAGTGAAAAGTAAATCTCTCTCCTACTCCTGTCTCTCAATTCTCCAGTTCTCTATCCCTGATGGAACCACTACTATCTACTTATTATATTTCCTTCCAGAGATACTCTGAGAATTTATGAATGTGCGTATTTTAAAAACATAAATGGTAACATACCTTATACATTGTTCTGCCCCTTGCTTTTGCTTGTTGTTGTTGTTTTGTTGTTGTTGTTTTTTTTTTTTGTTGTTGTTGTCTTTGGAGATGGAGCCTCACTCTGTCACCCAGGCTGGAGTGCAGTGGCGCGATTTCGTCTCACTGCAACCTCTACCTCCCAGGTTCACGTGATTCTCCTGTCTCAGCTTTCCAATTAGCTGGGATTACAGGTGCCCGCCACCACACTCGGTTAATTTTTGTATTTTTAGTAGAGACAGGGTTTCACCATGATGGCCAGGCTAGTGTTGAACTCCTGACTTCAAGTGATTCACCCACCTCAGCCTCCCAAAGTGCTAGGATTACAAGTGTTAGCCACTGCGCCCAGCCAAGTTCCTTGCTTTTCCATTTAATAATACATCTTATAGGTCGTTCCATTTCAATATGTATATATTTACCCCATACTTTTAAAAAATATTTGCCTCATTCTTTTTAACAGTTGTACATTATTCCATAGTATGTCTCTTCTATATTCTTTTATTTATTTATTTTTTTGAGACGGAGTCTTCCTCTGTTGCCCAGGCTGGAGTGCAGTGGTGCGATCTCGGCTCACTGCAAACTCTGCCTCCCGGGTTCACGCCATTCTCCTGCCTCAGCCTCCTGAGTAGCTGGGACTACAGGCGTCCACCACCACACCCAGTTAATTTTTTGTATTTTTGGTAGAGATGGGGTTTCACCCTGTTAGTCAGGATGGTCTTGATCTCCTGACCTCATGATCTACCTGCCTCAGCCTCCCAAAGTGCTGGGATTACAGGTATAAGCCACTGTGCCCAGCCATGTCTCTTCTATATTCTACTAGCTCCCTATTGATATATATTTTGGTTGTTTCCAATCTTTTGCAAATACAAACAATGCTGCAAACAATTACCGTATAAATTCTTTTTTCTTTTAATAAATTATTTTCCCCTCTTTCACTATTACTCAGGATCTATATATATTCTTCTTGTATACCTGTAATTTATCAATAAGATAAATTCCAAGAAGCAGGATTGCTGCATCAAAGGTTGACAGTTATTGCTAAATTACCCTCCCTAGAGGTTGGTTCCATTGTGCATACCCACACTGGGTGAGAATGCCTATTCCCCCACAGCTGCTGGGCAGTGGTTCTTAACCTCAGCCTGAAGATTCTCTGCTTCAGCCCTCCTTTCCTTTTCTCACCCATTATTTTTGTCATATAGTTTTTTTTTTTGTTTTTTTTT